AGCCATAACATACACATATATATATATACAATACTACAATTGTGACAATTCACAATAACATTGTTAATGATAAATAATACAAACGTATGTTAGTAATGATTTACAACAGATAACTATGTTGGCTATTAAAGAAACAATGCAACAGATTGTATAGTTACTCAGGATACATTAGAAACAATCAATTAACAAACATAATGTTAATAAATTAATACATAACTATAAACAATAATGTAAAGCAAATGAACAAACAATACATTCATGATATAATACATATATGATGCACCTAGACACATAGCAAGATGCCTGCAGCCAGACATAACATCTATGTAACAAATATATGTTAGCATAAAACCTCATTAATCTCAGAATGAAGCAATCTGGCAAAAACAAATATTATTATTGATATTACAATATACAATCAATACAAAGCTTCAATCCAAAGACATAAGTCAGCTATTACTGAATGCTTAATACATATACGAACGTAGACGAACACAGACAGTAATGATTAAAGAAGGATATCATTACAACATCAAATATACATTTTACTAGCATGATTCATTAGTTTCACAGCAAAGTAAAAGGAAATTACTAGAGTACTCAAACAAACTTAATAACAAACAATATGACTGAATAACAAACAATAAAACGAAACAAGCAATTGCATTTATGATTTAAATATGTGTATATACATACCTACACATGCTGACAAGATTCTGCAGGTCTCTGAAGCATTTTCAAATTATTTAATAACATTTACAAATGATCTATTGTGATAACAATACTGTTATTGAACAATATATTATGAACAAACAAACTAATTAAATATACTTAATCAATATAACATTGGACAAACTTAACACAAAGTGGATGACATTCAGAACAGACAGTACACAGAATGGACAATGCATTACTACAATGCTAATATTATTATTATTAACTACATCAAGTTATAAACACATTACATGAACGAACAATTGTACAATACAGTTATAATGATTAAACTATCTATACATACTGTAAGCAAACATCTTACAAGTCTACTAGACCTAGTAAGAGTTTGAAGGGGAGTGTTAAGACAAGACTA